TATATGTATATGTATATGTATATGTATATGTATATGTATATGTATATGTATATGTATATGTATATGTATATGTATATGTATATGTATATATTTCTGCTGGTTTGCTTTAAGCTATAAAGTAAGAAAGAGAGTTGGTTTTTCTTCCCTATGGTCTCTTCCTCCTCTGATGTTGTTCGACAATGATGATGCTAATGATTCTCAAGGAGCCTTGTTTAAATAACCTATTGACAATGGTGTATAAAAATCCAAAAGCACTCTATTTACATGGTTTAAACGACATCCCCTCCACTCCTTTCCTACTGCACAGGTGGGGAAATGGGAAAAGGGAATTATCCGCATGGAATATCCAGTGTGGCCACGCTATGGATCCTTCCTGCAGCCCATGTCAGATAATCGCCACCTCACAGTGGCTACCCTTGAAGAAAGACCATTTGTCATTGTGGAGAACACAGATCCTTCCACTGGAGTATGTGTCCGAAATACAGTTCCTTGCCGGAAACAGACCAACTCCTCCGTAAGGTAAACGAGAGGAAAGAAGTCAAAAGACAGAACAGGAGGAAGCAGTATTGGAGCCAACGGGGGTTGGCTTGCTAAAGGGAGGAGGAGGGGGGTGGCTTCCAATGTATATCTTTTCCCAGAAACCCCAACGTGTTTTCTCATGTAAAACCAGTTACATTAATTTCATTCCTAAACGAATTGCTTACTTCACTGTTCACCATCATTCGTTTGTTTTCGTTTTTTTTAACTTGCCTTCTGTTTCATTAAAAAAAAATTCCCCACTCTGGTGTCCTTCAGATAGGATTGACAACTTGCTCCACAATTCCAGACCACAACATCCCTCAGTTTTTTTATTGTGTTGTTTAGGAATTATGGGAGATGTAATCCTACATGGTATCTTAGTGGGACATGGTGGCTCAGTGGCTAAGATGAAGGGATGTGGTGGCTCAGTGGCTAAGATGCTGAGCTTGTCGATCAGAAAGGTCGGCAGTTTGGCGGTTTGAATCTCTAGTGCTGCATAATGGAGTGAGCTCCTGTTATTTGTCCCAGCTTCTGCCAAACTAGCAGTTGGAAAGCATGTAAAAATGCAATTAGAAAAATAGGGACCACTTTGATGGTTTTTCGGTGTTTAGTCATGCCGGCCACATGACCACTGAGACATCTTCGGACAGTGCTGGCTCTTCGGCTTTGAAACAGAGATGAGCACCGCCCCCTAGAGTCGGGAACAACTAGCACATATGTGCAAGGGAAACTTTTACCTTTATCTGTCATAGACAGGGAGG